AAGAACAGTTACTCAGAATAAGAATGATATTTATATCTTACCTTGTTATTGAGAAAGAGAGAGCAAGTAGAAATAATAACAAAAATATCTTTCCTACTCTGAATATATAATTTCAGAGGTAAGTCAGTAAAATGCTTTGAATCTAAGTTTCGCGCGTTCTTGGAACTCATCATCAAAGCATATAAGGAACCATGGCGAAATTAGTGTTGCCTAGGTGATTCTAAACCACGTGACTCCTTGATAACAACACCTAGAAGAAAAGTTGCTCAGAATAAGATCTCTTTGTTGTAAGGTTAGTAGTTATGACACCATCTAGCCTATAATGTGTGTGGAACCGGCGTGTTGGCGACTAAGCGGCTGTCATTTCTGAGCAACAAAATAACTGATTTTTGGAATTTTATTCATATTCCATATAATTATAATGATGATAAAAAAAGTTCCTGATAAACAAAGGTCAAATAACGGAAGCGGAAGCTAGTCAAATCTTGGCAAAAATATAGACGGTATTATGAGAAATTCACAAGTACCATTTATGTTTATCTGAAAGAATATTAAACAAATTTAATACAATATATCTATTGCACTGAAGTCAAAGCACCTTAGAGTGTGGCGCGAAACTAATTCAGAAGTAATTATTTCTTTATTCTGATTCTCTATGGGTGTCGCATCTTTCTTGCTTATAAAAGTTTAAGTACAAAAACATGGAGAATGTCTATCTTTTTCGTCCTTGAGTAATTCCTCTGCTTTCTTGATGTAGTCTTCTCTGTCTATGACTACCGTAATGCATCCTGTTTCTGCTGGAAGTATAACGATATCTTTCCTATTTCTCAGCCTTTTTGATGTTTTCCTTTCGTGACTGTTCATTTAAGCGTGATGTCTCTTCTGCCTGGTTGATGGTACGATTGTTTGCCGTATTTCTTATTGAGTGACCTCATTTAATCCTGCTGTTTTAAGTGACGATTCTCATGCCGCAAAGAATTCTGGTTTGGAGGCATCTCTTGTGTTGTAATTCAATCATTTTAAAGAAGTTCTTACATTTTTGTTAGTGGTTGTTTTGATAAGTTGGTAACACAGTTGTTTGTTTCCTCAGTTGTAGGTGCTTCTGAAATTTTGAGTAGATTTTTCCTGAGGACGTTTCTTCGTTGTTCTTTGTATCGTCTGCTTGATTTTTCAAACGCAGTTGTCAACATTGTCATGTGTTGTGTCATAAGTATGCTTTCTAGTTTTCTCTTTTGATTGTTAATCAATGATTGCTATTTCTGGATCCGATGATGTGCATCACCAATTTTACCATTTGTCTTCCACTTTGTTCAGGTATTTTCCATTCCATTGGACAATTAATTGATGGTCTATATGTGACATTCTTAGGCAGAACCTGCCGAAAAATGTCCACCTCCCATAAGAATTATTCATATTGTGTTGTCGTTGTTGTTGTAGTTGAAACAATGCCAAGAAATTAGGATTGAAAGCGAGTAGAAATAATAACAAGTAAATCTTTCCTACTCTGAATATAAAATGTTAGGACTAAGTCAGTAAAATGCCTTGAATGTAAGTTCCGCGATTTTTAGAACTCATCAACAAAGTATATCAAGAACCATGAGGAAACTGGTACCTTCTAGCTAATTTCAAACCACTTGACTCTGTATCGAAGTCAAACAGTTTGTCTCCAAATTAATCATGTAAAATCCCGTAGTACTGGATTATGCGTACCAATCGGTCACCAGAGGACAGATACCAGGTGTTAAGAACTTTCATCCGAGGTTCATAACTAGATTTCTTGCTTTTAATTCCAATTTCAGTTAGCGTGCTCATTACATAGTAGAATGATATAACTTAATATTACGTAAGCGACTATGGTTATAGATGCGAGAGCATACCTACAGTCAGTGGACAAATCAGTAGTGACAACAGATCTTCAAGAGTGAAACTATTGACCAAACTGTTTTATCATGCACTGATATCGGTTGGAGAAACAGTGGAAACCTGGAAAGCTATTCCGTCCTACCATGAAACGCTTCAGCAGCGCATACCCATGACCCCACACCAACAGGGATCGAACCCATGACCTTCTGGTTTCGCAAGCAGCAAGCTTCCATTGAACCACTGGGTCATAATCCAGTGGTTCATACTTCTTAATTCTGTCACTTCATGATATAGCGTGACCTCCATTCAATCTTGCACTAAGTAACTGTCCTCATGTTCGACTTGGCTGACTCCAACTGGTCACAGCTTCTCACCGGAACTTCAGGAATCATCTGTCTAAGGTAGTCACCAATGAGCACTAGATTAGTTCAATTTTGAGGTTTTGGGTTATTTATTGACTTCTCCAATTGATGTCAATCCATGTCAGTACTCAAAATTAAACAGTTTTACCTTGGCATTTTCATTTGAAGGGTTACTTTTAAACAGCACCTCCAACATGTGATGAGGAATAGATCATTTTGTAAATGTGAACAAACCACCTTAGCAAGTAAGAAATAAAATGTTCAGCTTACCCAATTCCAACTTACACTTGAAATTGTTAAATTGAATACTGAATACATACTGATAACTCAACAAATCTGCTTATTCATCTTTCAGCATAATCTACTCTACCGGTAAACAACAATTTATCTTGAAAATATTTCACCTTAGAAGTTCGTTGTTCATAAACTGACTTAGGACTTATTACAACCTAACTTCAAATAGCGACTTGTTCGATTTCCAACAAAAATCACTGAGCTCAAGTCAGTCAATTTAGAAGTACTCAGTTGGTAGAGCCCCTGGCCGAAAACCCGGTAGTCGCTGCTGTGAATCCCACCATTGCCCATATGTTCATTTCACCTTCAGTTGTTACCCAGTATCAATAAAGAGAAATACTTACTGATGGTATTAAAAGGTGAAGGGGAGCACATAGTGTGCTGATTAACAGCCAAATCATTTAACGTACTTGAAGGTAGTTACTGATAAAGTGCATAGGAGAAAACATCAATGCCATGGGTTTAATGAGGAAAAGTGTCAGGAGTACATACCAGAATATTACTTAGTCCTCTTTTGTTCGAACGATTTTCTCGGAGATTTCTATTGACCAGATGATGACGTCACTGACATCGTTTTCCACTCTAGAAGGGAAAAATGATCCTGTGTGCACAAAATGGTTACGTAATAGTGTACTAGATGGTAGAAGTAATCAGAAAACGATGTTATTATGCGAAAATTATTCCCATATTTACAAACAAATATTTATTTTATCTTTAAGTACTTCTCTGGCAACTGAATCCCAAACTATAAGTCACTGCTAAGCATCTCTGCGTTTATTACTATTTATTGATATGCTTGTAATTCGTCGCTGTTTTACTGGATCAGACTGTTCAACCAAATAAAACAATGGAGAATTACAGGTATATCAATAAATAGTAATAACTATTACGCGTTGTATAGGAAATGGCTATTGTTCCTATGTAACATAGTGAATAACGCCTTGGCATTTGAAGCTATGGGTACAAGGTTCAAGTCTCAGTAAGAACAACATCACTATGCAATGGGGTGCAGGTACATCCAATTGATAAGGCTCAAATGGGACAAATCACGCGTCCTGGATTCCTCTGCTAGCCACAACCAAACAAATTGCCATCTCTGTGCTTGTTGCTATTCACATGAATGCTATTAAGCAACTTAAGAGTTGATCAACTCTCCTCCATCACTTGTAAATAATGATGGTCAGTTCATTGCATAACAATCAATATTCTGTGAAAACTCATCCAAAAGTATAAACTGATATTACTAATTAGTATTTCTCAGTATTTTTGCATGCTGTCTAATTGACATTGATATGAAAGACTATATTTTGGCGTCTTGTATAAAAAAATGAAATTCTTCACTGATGTATAGAGAGGCAGCACATAGAGAAAAACGACAGTTGTGATTGATGGATCAGTGTTGAAAAAGGTAAGGAATGATACGTGTTCATTGTGGAACCGTGACAATAAAATCATAAGACTGTGAAGAGACTTTATTTTCAGTCTACCTTCGGAAGACTCTCTAAAAGGAGATTTAGCTGAATTTCGCTAAATCCTGTTCATAATAACTTCTCATGATATGATCATAGGTTAAGGATGAATGAAGTGATAGAAACTCAGCTAGTTTATACGAATTTCCGAGATTACCTTCTGTGTCGACTTACTTTATACACTGTGGTAGTTTACTGAAGAATGATCATTTAAATCAAATCATATATAATCGATTCCTTGTGTAACCATCGAAAGGGAAATTCCTAAATCAACACTATTAACACGATCCTTGATCTCTTTATATATACTTTGAGGTTTACGGGGATTTTGTTTTTACTTATGGACTGATATCAGTTGGGAAACCATTGAAAATGTAGGAGCACTGGAAAGCTGTTTCGTTCTAGTATGGGACTCCTCTGCAGTACGCACCTGCAACCCGGCTCCACCAAAGATCAAACTCAGCATCTTCAGGTCTCATAGTGAACGCGTTTACCAATCAGCCGTTGAGTCGAAGTTCAATGGTTTTCAGTTTCCTATTTCTGTCACTTCACAAATCTTCAGTCGATATTCATTTCCTTTCAGACTGATTGACCTCACTAGTTACGACTTCTCACTGGTGGATAATGGCATTATGGATCACTGAACTCCTATCTAGTGGCTGAATGGTTAACGCGTTCGCTGTGAAGTCCTGAGTTGAAGCCCGAGTGAGGTGGAGTCGTGGGTACACATTACTGAGGAGTTCCACGCAAGGCCGAAACATCTTTCCAGTGCTCTCACGTTTTAAATGATTATCTTCTATCTTTATATATTAATACAGCGAAATCGTCTGTACTTTTGCCATTAATTCAGTAAAGTCTTATCCAACATAAAGTTTACTGGGATTGGATAATATGGTCAGTTATTGTCTGTAAATCACTAAATGTTTGTCTCACCATCATTTTAGTAATTTATGCCATTTTGATTGCTTCCTTTTATGTTGAAAAGTATAAGTTAGTTCGTTGGTTGCCTTATTGATGATTGTGGCCACGCAAAAATAACCATAATTATTTTTGTCCAATACCAAATAAACGTAAAGGTTATACCCTACACATGTATAATCAGAATTTAAGAGGCAAGTCAATCTCAATCCACTTTTATGCTGATAGGTTAGTCTATGTATATATAATTATTTCAAAATAAAATAACCTATAGGGGGGTTTGTGCTAGGTTGTTTGTTTTTTGTTTCAGTTTTTTTTTACTAAGAAGTCAATACTAATTTATCACACCTACGCTATTCATTCATACCAAACTTTAAAACTGTATCAAATTACACTGTGAAGGTTTGGAAGATACACGTCTCCTTGTAATATGCGGAGTTTTCATAATGATAAGGCGTCTTGTGAGTAAAGGCAGCAAGCACACTTTCGAATTTTCAGCCTTATTTTTCTCCTTGTATTCAATAAATTAATATATTATACAGATATACATATATATATATATTTATTTCAACAATTCAATATTGTATGGAATAAATAATTATGATGAATGTACATATGTGAGGGAAATTTGTCAACTTCTACTCACCTATGCTATTTTCTCTATCAATATTTCTTCAAACAAATGAACACATCATCATATAATTATGAAGATCAATTTTATTCATCTATCTCAAGTGTATTTAACTTTGTTATCGCATAATTTACTGCCTATACAACTTATAAAGGGAGACATATGCCTTCACTTGGTTCGAATATCATGACTACTAGGGTAGTTGTTCATTTTATACTCAATATCATTAATATATATTTCAATATTTTACAAAAATTTGTAACATAATTATTGTGAAAATCAATATAAAACATAAATTGATCAATTATCATGTCTAGTGAATTAAACAAAACGGAACAATACTCTCAAATTGATCAACCAATCAAAGAAGATTCTATTGAGAATGATTATAAAATCAAATCAGATACTACTTATCCTTTATTATGTAATACACTTATTGATTCTGATTGTAAAAAAATGAAATTATCCGATGTCTGGGAAACAAGTAATACACCTCCACTAGAATCTACATTAACATTAAATCAAGAGATAAGTAGTGAAATGAATCCGAAAGATAAGGATATTATCGAATATGAACAGAGTGATACTGTTCATGATGTTCATCATGATGATGAGATTTACAAAGATAAAACAAAGAAATCAAGTTTTACTAATGTTAAAGATGAATCAAACTATCGAATTACAGACAATTATGAAACTTACCATACCAATATTGAAAAGGATATTTGTACAGAATTCGATAATCCTATGTATATACCAATTAAATTACCATTAAGCAGTAATTTATACGTTCCAGTTTATTACGTACAGTCAAGTGAAGAAGCATTACCTAAAGCGGATAAACATCATGTGGATTATTATCATAGTAATAATAATAATAATAATGATAATATTTCTGAATCTAATAACATTCATGATAACAATTCAACGGTAAGTCAAAACTTTCCATTGAAATCTAATAGTAGTTTAAGGGGGAATGATATACCAAGCAATCTACAAAGTGATTATCACATAAATACTAGTAATCAAGGATATCAAAATAGTATATCACCATATTACACCACAGAAGTTAGCCCAAATCATCATGATTTAGATAAGTGTGAATTGAAAATAAAATCCAAACAAACAAAAATTCGATTAAAACCTTCACAGAAGACTAAATCAAAGATGAAAAACTTTATTCAGGTAAAGAATAAAAATATAACAATTAAATCAAGCAATCACAACGATGAAGGTATAAAAGAAGTTGAAGCAACGACAATAGGAAAGATAAACAACATCGACAAAAGGAAAAGATATACGGGATGTTCACCCAAGTTAAAATTTAAGAAAACCAAAGACAACACAGAACATGTCAAAAAAGGAAAACAAGAAAAGAAAAAAAGTAAGAATAATCAGATTCAAAAAGAAGTAATCAGTGCAAACGAAGATAAGACGGAGATTCAAAGCAAAAGCAAGGCTCAGAAAAACGAAAGAAAAGAAGCGAAGAATCAACGGAAAATACTATGCGCAACTACCAGAAAAACACAAAAAACGAAAAACCAAAACCCTGAAGAAACTCCGACGACAAAAATAACGGAAAAAAAACAACCAAACGCACAGAAAACACCACTGAAACCAAAAAAAACAAATAAACATGGAGATGAAGCAACAAAGCAAAAGATAGGACTGACTGGACAGGTGTCCGCTCCCGATGTGGACGTCAGTGTTCCATCGAAGAAGTTCACCTTCGGTTGGGGCTCGAAAGGTAAGAAGGCGAAGAAGGTGAAGGTGCCCAAAGTGTCAGGAGACGTAGACGCTGGTTTGGATGTGAGTGGGAAGGTTGATGTCCCCAGTGTGGACGTGGATGTGGACGCAGGTGGACGAGGTAAAGGTAAGAAGTTCCACTGGTCTCCGAATATCTCGTTGCCGAAGTTCAATGTGCACATGCCAGATGTGTCAGGAAAGGTGCATGCAGACGCACCTGATGTGAGTGTGAGTGGAACTGGTCCATCTGTGGAATTGCCATCTGTGAAAGCCAGTGCTCGTTTGCCGACTGTCGACGTGTCCGTTCCAGATGCATCGCTTGGAGGTGATCTCTCCGGTAAGCTTGATTTAGACGGGACTGGTGTGAAGATCTGTGACGCCGATCTGAGACTGCCTGAAATGGAGATATCAGGAAATGTGAGTGCACCGTCTGTGGAGGGAGACTTGTCCATCCCTCAGGTGTCTGCCAGTCTGGATAGAGATGTGGAACTGCCCAGTGCTGACGTGGATGTGAAACTGCCGAGTGTGAAGCTGACTGGTCCAGATCTCGATGTACATGGTGTGACTCCGGATGCAGGTGTGAGCGCCAAGGTGGACGTGCCTAAGCCGCATATCTCGATCAAGGCACCGAAATTCGGCTTCGGTCTGGGCAAGAAGAAGGCGAAATTGAAGACTCCGAAGGCTGGTGTGAAGGTGGAAGGAGAGGCAGGTGGGAAGGTGGATTTGGACGCCGGACTCGACGCCCACATAGATGGCAAAGCAAGCAAGGGAGGTAAGAAATTCCACTGGTCTCCGAAGTTCGGGTTCCCGAAGGGTGGTCTGAAGATGCATGGTGGTGGTGGTGTTGGAAAACCGGACGCCTCGATATCTGTTTCGGGTCCGACTGGTGGTGTGGATGTGTCGCTTCCGAAACCCGAGCTCGACGTCTCACTGGAGGCTCCTGAGATGGAGGTGTCTGCGTCTGTGCCGGAAATCGGTGTATCTGGTGGTGCAGGTAGAGGCGGAGAGTTGGGACTGACTGGACAGGTGTCCGCTCCCGATGTGGACGTCAGTGTTCCATCGAAGAAGTTCACCTTCGGTTGGGGCTCGAAAGGTAAGAAGGCGAAGAAGGTGAAGGTGCCCAAAGTGTCAGGAGACGTAGACGCTGGTTTGGATGTGAGTGGGAAGGTTGATGTTCCCAGTGTGGACGTGGATGTGGACGCAGGTGGACGAGGTAAAGGTAAGAAGTTCCACTGGTCTCCGAATATCTCGTTGCCGAAGTTCAATGTGCACATGCCAGATGTGTCAGGAAAGGTGCATGCAGACGCACCTGATGTGAGTGTGAGTGGAACTGGTCCATCTGTGGAATTGCCATCTGTGAAAGCCAGTGCTCGTTTGCCGACTGTCGACGTGTCCGTTCCAGATGCATCGCTTGGAGGTGATCTCTCCGGTAAGCTTGATTTAGACGGGACTGGTGTGAAGATCTGTGACGCCGATCTGAGACTGCCTGAAATGGAGATATCAGGAAATGTGAGTGCACCGTCTGTGGAGGGAGACTTGTCCATCCCTCAGGTGTCTGCCAGTCTGGATAGAGATGTGGAACTGCCCAGTGCTGACGTGGATGTGAAACTGCCGAGTGTGAAGCTGACTGGTCCAGATCTCGATGTACATGGTGTGACTCCGGATGCAGGTGTGAGCGCCAAGGTGGACGTGCCTAAGCCGCATATCTCGATCAAGGCACCGAAATTCGGCTTCGGTCTGGGCAAGAAGAAGGCGAAATTGAAGACTCCGAAGGCTGGTGTGAAGGTGGAAGGAGAGGCAGGTGGGAAGGTGGATTTGGACGCCGGACTCGACGCCCACATAGATGGCAAAGCAAGCAAGGGAGGTAAGAAATTCCACTGGTCTCCGAAGTTCGGGTTCCCGAAGGGTGGTCTGAAGATGCATGGTGGTGGTGGTGTTGGAAAACCGGACGCCTCGATATCTGTTTCGGGTCCGACTGGTGGTGTGGATGTGTCGCTTCCGAAACCCGAGCTCGACGTCTCACTGGAGGCTCCTGAGATGGAGGTGTCTGCGTCTGTGCCGGAAATCGGTGTATCTGGTGGTGCAGGTAGAGGCGGAGAGTTGGGACTGACTGGACAGGTGTCCGCTCCCGATGTGGACGTCAGTGTTCCATCGAAGAAGTTCACCTTCGGTTGGGGCTCGAAAGGTAAGAAGGCGAAGAAGGTGAAGGTGCCCAAAGTGTCAGGAGACGTAGACGCTGGTTTGGATGTGAGTGGGAAGGTTGATGTCCCAGTGTGGACGTGGATGTGGACGCAGGTGGACGAGGTAAAGGTAAGAAGTTCCACTGGTCTCCGAATATCTCGTTGCCGAAGTTCAATGTGCACATGCCAGATGTGTCAGGAAAGGTGCATGCAGACGCACCTGATGTGAGTGTGAGTGGAACTGGTCCATCTGTGGAATTGCCATCTGTGAAAGCCAGTGCTCGTTTGCCGAGTGTCGACGTGTCCGTTCCAGATGCATCGCTTGGAGGTGATCTCTCCGGTAAGCTTGATTTAGACGGGACTGGTGTGAAGATCTGTGACGCCGATCTGAGACTGCCTGAAATGGAGATATCAGGAAATGTGAGTGCACCGTCTGTGGAGGGAGACTTGTCCATCCCTCAGGTGTCTGCCAGTCTGGATAGAGATGTGGAACTGCCCAGTGCTGACGTGGATGTGAAACTGCCGAGTGTGAAGCTGACTGGTCCAGATCTCGATGTACATGGTGTGACTCCGGATGCAGGTGTGAGCGCCAAGGTGGACGTGCCTAAGCCGCATATCTCGATCAAGGCACCGAAATTCGGCTTCGGTCTGGGCAAGAAGAAGGCGAAATTGAAGACTCCGAAGGCTGGTGTGAAGGTGGAAGGAGAGGCAGGTGGGAAGGTGGATTTGGACGCCGGACTCGACGCCCACATAGATGGCAAAGCAAGCAAGGGAGGTAAGAAATTCCACTGGTCTCCGAAGTTCGGGTTCCCGAAGGGTGGTCTGAAGATGCATGGTGGTGGTGGTGTTGGAAAACCGGACGCCTCGATATCTGTTTCGGGTCCGACTGGTGGTGTGGATGTGTCGCTTCCGAAACCCGAGCTCGACGTCTCACTGGAGGCTCCTGAGATGGAGGTGTCTGCGTCTGTGCCGGAAATCGGTGTATCTGGTGGTGCAGGTAGAGGCGGAGAGTTGGGACTGACTGGACAGGTGTCCGCTCCCGATGTGGACGTCAGTGTTCCATCGAAGAAGTTCACCTTCGGTTGGGGCTCGAAAGGTAAGAAGGCGAAGAAGGTGAAGGTGCCCAAAGTGTCAGGAGACGTAGACGCTGGTTTGGATGTGAGTGGGAAGGTTGATGTCCCCAGTGTGGACGTGGATGTGGACGCAGGTGGACGAGGTAAAGGTAAGAAGTTCCACTGGTCTCCGAATATCTCGTTGCCGAAGTTCAATGTGCACATGCCAGATGTGTCAGGAAAGGTGCATGCAGACGCACCTGATGTGAGTGTGAGTGGAACTGGTCCATCTGTGGAATTGCCATCTGTGAAAGCCAGTGCTCGTTTGCCGAGTGTCGACGTGTCCGTTCCAGATGCATCGCTTGGAGGTGATCTCTCCGGTAAGCTTGATTTAGACGGGACTGGTGTGAAGATCTGTGACGCCGATCTGAGACTGCCTGAAATGGAGATATCAGGAAATGTGAGTGCACCGTCTGTGGAGGGAGACTTGTCCATCCCTCAGGTGTCTGCCAGTCTGGATAGAGATGTGGAACTGCCCAGTGCTGACGTGGATGTGAAACTGCCGAGTGTGAAGCTGACTGGTCCAGATCTCGATGTACATGGTGTGACTCCGGATGCAGGTGTGAGCGCCAAGGTGGACGTGCCTAAGCCGCATATCTCGATCAAGGCACCGAAATTCGGCTTCGGTCTGGGCAAGAAGAAGGCGAAATTGAAGACTCCGAAGGCTGGTGTGAAGGTGGAAGGAGAGGCAGGTGGGAAGGTGGATTTGGACGCCGGACTCGACGCCCACATAGATGGCAAAGCAAGCAAGGGAGGTAAGAAATTCCACTGGTCTCCGAAGTTCGGGTTCCCGAAGGGTGGTCTGAAGATGCATGGTGGTGGTGGTGTTGGAAAACCGGACGCCTCGATATCTGTTTCGGGTCCGACTGGTGGTGTGGATGTGTCGCTTCCGAAACCCGAGCTCGACGTCTCACTGGAGGCTCCTGAGATGGAGGTGTCTGCGTCTGTGCCGGAAATCGGTGTATCTGGTGGTGCAGGTAGAGGCGGAGAGTTGGGACTGACTGGACAGGTGTCCGCTCCCGATGTGGACGTCAGTGTTCCATCGAAGAAGTTCACCTTCGGTTGGGGCTCGAAAGGTAAGAAGGCGAAGAAGGTGAAGGTGCCCAAAGTGTCAGGAGACGTAGACGCTGGTTTGGATGTGAGTGGGAAGGTTGATGTTCCCAGTGTGGACGTGGATGTGGACGCAGGTGGACGAGGTAAAGGTAAGAAGTTCCACTGGTCTCCGAATATCTCGTTGCCGAAGTTCAATGTGCACATGCCAGATGTGTCAGGAAAGGTGCATGCAGACGCACCTGATGTGAGTGTGAGTGGAACTGGTCCATCTGTGGAATTGCCATCTGTGAAAGCCAGTGCTCGTTTGCCGAGTGTCGACGTGTCCGTTCCAGATGCATCGCTTGGAGGTGATCTCTCCGGTAAGCTTGATTTAGACGGGACTGGTGTGAAGATCTGTGACGCCGATCTGAGACTGCCTGAAATGGAGATATCAGGAAATGTGAGTGCACCGTCTGTGGAGGGAGACTTGTCCATCCCTCAGGTGTCTGCCAGTCTGGATAGAGATGTGGAACTGCCCAGTGCTGACGTGGATGTGAAACTGCCGAGTGTGAAGCTGACTGGTCCAGATCTCGATGTACATGGTGTGACTCCGGATGCAGGTGTGAGCGCCAAGGTGGACGTGCCTAAGCCGCATATCTCGATCAAGGCACCGAAAT